GGTTGGACTGATTAGATTTGGGTTGGAACTAAGCTTTGAGAAGGTAATATCTCCAAGAGGTGGAGTGGTGATCACTGAACTAAATCAATCTCTCTTTATAGGTCTTTCTACATATAGATCTATAAACCTACAGAGAGATAAACACCTATACTAATGCTGTTGTTAATTATTCCTTTCAAGCCCTTCATTTCCAGTATTCCATAGTGGACTCTCTCAGATAAGCATTATTTTATGAAAACTCCTTTATAAAAAGGTTATGCATATTTTCATGAAATGCTTTGCTTCCATCTGCTGTTCAGAAAAGAAAGTGCCCTTTAAAGGTTTGCTCTGTGCTAAAATTGTCGTGTTGGCTGTTGTTTTCTACACTATGTGCGGATGGGAGGTGCAGCAGGGAGTGCTGAAAATTACTGAGTCAGAATTGTTCACAGTGGTGGTGATAGTAACCAGACGTCTGAAGAGTTTAATACCTCCAAAAGCTACACAGAAAGTCAATTCATGGAATGGTTATGAAGACGCTACCTGATTCCTGAGATATCATTTTACAATAGGTTTGATGCAGTTTTTAAAAAAAATATAAGTATATGGAGTTTCAGCCACATCCTTTGCTAAAAGGTATATAAAGTCAAGCACATAGCCATGCATTCTCTATAGACAAACATGGCAGTAGAATGGGTTGTACTGAAGAGCTCAGTGACTTTAAACATGGCACTGTCATAGGATTCCTCTTTTGCCACAAGTTTGTGAATTTTCTGACCTTCTAGATCTTCCCCCGTCATCTGTGAAATGGAGACAGCTAAAGGCAACAACAGCTCAGCCACAAAGCGCTAGACCACACAAACTCAGGGCGGAGCCGTTAAGTGCTGAAGCCCATAGCATATAAAAAATCGCCTGTCCTCAGGTAAATGCTTACTACAGAGTCCCAAACTGCCTCTTGAAGCAATATCAGCACAACAACTGTGTCAAGAGCTTTAAACAAATAGGTTTCCATGGCCAAACAGCTGCACACAAGCCTAAGGTCAATATGCGCAACGCCAAGTGTTGGCTGGAGTGGTCTAAAGCATGCCACTACTGGACTCTGGAGCAGAGGAAACGTGGAGTTTTGAATCTGGCAGTGAGATGGATGAATCTGGGTTTGGTGAATGTAGGAGAACGTTACCTACTGGAATGGATAGTGTCAACAGTAAAGTTTGGTGGAGGAGGGATAATGGTGTGAGGCTGTTTTTCAGGGACTGTTTTTCCACCGCCCCTGTGCACAAAGCCAGCTCCATAAAGACATGGTTCGATGAGTCTGGTGTGGAAGAATTCCAGTGGCCTGCACAGAGCTCTTACCTTAACCCCACTGACAGCCCTTGGGATTGTTTTTCATATCTATTACTATTTTACCATCTTTAACATTATATATAAGAAGAAAGACGTGTAGGTTCAATGCTCATTTTCGATAGTAAATAAAATGAAAATATTTGCATTGTGAACTTCACAACCCCAGGCTTCAATCACCACCAATGTAAAGAAGTTTCTTTCCTTCTTCAAACCACTCTGAATTAATTTACATAGGAACAATTTTTTTTTTTTTACAAATTGGTGAAATTCCTTTGGTGGAAAATAAGCTATAACATTTCCTACTCTGACATGATAATATTTCACTGATGGTATCTCAAAGAAGACATCAAACCACTTTTCCTTTACGGTAGATACATGAATCTTTATTTATATAATTTGGTACCTGCATTTGGGTTACAATTGAACATAACAATCATAACAGAAATATAACAAGATAATATTTGTCATTTCCATAGCAATAATAAACTGTACACTTGTTTAGACATTCATATTTATATATATTTACAATACATACATGGCCATACATGACTACAGAGAAACTGTGATGCTCAGATTTCACACTGCACGTACAGTATATGGCAAAAAGGAGGAAACAGGAACCAAAATGTGCAAAAGATTTGTCTGGCATTGGCTCGTATGTTAAGATTTAAGGTTTATAAATGCTCTCACTCTAGTCTAATACATACGGTACACACGAAAGACTGCCACTGAAACTGACCCCAGACCTGCTGGGAATGTACAAAGTGTATTGTTATCTGAATGCTTTAAAACGGTGACATCATACAGGTCTGTAGTAGTACATGATTGGCATCTGGCATCTGGCACTGTATTATTTAATACAAAATATTTAAAATTTCCTCTTAGTTGTTTAACCCCTTGAACCATATGTGGGATCTTACGCAGTTTACAAATTCATTCCATAGCAGTAACTGAACAATTTATAGCCGTCACTGAGTAAGTAATAAAGTTAATAACTGAATAATATGTCTGCAGTTTGAGGGGGTTAAAATATTAAACTGGAACCTTGTGCCTTCACAGGAAATAAAGCATTTCCATCAGATAATTTCTCCCAAGGTATAAGGTCATATATAATAAGTCAGCAATGGTGTGCACTGGATCAGGATGGAATAGCAGGTTGATCAGTATACTGATGTACAGCCCACTTATTTGATCGTTTATACCTAATGAGGTAAGGACGCACACACAATTCACTCTCACATTCATTTTTTCTTTCTTGTCAACAAGCACTTCATCAATAGAGACAAAAGGTCATCTCCCTAAAGACGCTTTTTATGGTTGGCTTGAAGCCACCGCATATTGCAAACACACACTCTCAGTTCCAGCTTTCCTGCTGTCTTTGGTTGAAGGAGGTAAAAACTGCCACAGTAAAAGGACAAACTCCCAAAAACCTAACGTCTATCAGCACAGAACATCAGACTCAGCAATAAAGTCAAAGGTGGGAGATGGAGATGTCTCTTAAATGTGTGGACCTACTGCACAGAGCTTAAATACAGAGGACATTTAGTTATCATTCCGTCTAGATTTGTCCGAAATTTTGCCCTAGTGCACTATTTTGGGAGTTAATTGCCAAATCAAAATCTCTGCTCTTCCCAAGACTTAACTCAATGACTTAAAATACATGTTAACCAGAACGTTCACAGGGCTGTAGGCCCTGCTGTCAAATTTGGTCTAAAATCTTGGTCAAGCTGTATTACTTTTTACTAGAGGAGGTCTGGCAATGAAATTTGTTAGAGATTTGACTGGCTGATTTGTGCGAGATAATTACCTTAGATAGCCCAGATTGAAATGTCATAGCCCTGACGTTCACGATCAGCGTTAAGGTAAGAATTAAACAGATCCAAATGAACAATGAAAACAAAACAGTTAATACCGATTTGTATTGGATTAAATTCATGGATCTCATCGATAAGCACTGAAATTATAGCACCTCCCAGGTAAAACTAATACAGCTTGAATAGGGCTTAACTCTGTCATTGATTTGGTGCACAGGGGAATCATGTGAACTTCCGGAGAGTCTGCTCTTAAATGCAAACTTCAGAAAACTGCGTGTAGAATTACCCTAAATTCACAGTGAAATCAACATAAATGGGACAACAAAACAACAACAAAAACAAGCAATACACAATTCATGTGCTATTTTCAGGCATTGATCAATTCCATTTTAAGCATGTGAAGTCCTCTCATTAGCTTTTTTTTACATTTGTAGATGAGTCATGACAACATCGAGCACTTCAGTGAACAAAACGAGAAAAAAGTGAAGTCTGTGAGACCAAAGATTTTGATTGGTTACGTTATTTTGTAGCGACGTTTGAAAACATATTTGAGAGACTATCCAGCCCACTCTTACAATCCCACAAGTACAAATGTACAAATGATGTACAGTAGAGGAAATACCCATAATGCTATATGTTATGTGCAACTACATGCAGCTGTGAATGTTAATGTACAAAATTGTTTACTGGAATGGAGATTTTGGTCAGCCTATCAAGATCATGAAATTTTAGCTGCCAATTAATTTGTATATAAATAATCACAATTACCAAATTAATAATATTTTTGTTCATTGTATTGAACTTTTAACATGGGTAACTTGGCAGATTAGCTATCTTGCTTCCTAGCTGTCAATACTAAGGTCTAAAATGATGACAGCTTAAATGACAACAATAACAGCTCCATTTTAAATAAACAAACCTTACTCACTGCTGCCCTCTAAAGGTGTTATAGCACCAGTCAGAATTTAGAACATGAGTTGTTTTCATAAGACCCATGATGTCTCAGCAATTCACATTCTGTTTGTTGTGACATAAACGTATAACTTTAACATCTATAAACTGTGTAGAATAACAGGCGATTACACAATAATTGTGACAGACCTATTTTGCTGTTGATAATAGTGCACCTGTGTCTGGGATTCACACTTGTGTCCCTCAGTGGAATAGTTTCCAATACTTTACATCTGATATCACAGGACCATATGACTTTCAAGTGGTCACACCTACTTATCATTCATCAGTCATTCATATTCTAGTTTCTCAAACGCTCTGGTCACTGAAATTATAGGGGAAACAGTCAAAAAGGTTTCAGTGACCAAGGCAACAATAAGGGGCACTTAGAGGACATTAAGTCAGTAGGACTAGGGTTCAAAATGACTTCTAGAGTATTTACCACAATCCTTTGAAATATATAGGATTTGTATTTACAGTAGAGCTATCAACATTCTATATATTCATATATTTTCAGTATACCACACTGGTCTAATATTCATGGTGAAACCCAGTAATTGCTATTTGATAGAGGATTTCCAAACAAAAAGGGGTACAATACGTTTGATTAATTATGATTATTGTGTTATACTATTTGTAATGGGCAAATGCACAACTGAAGTAGCATGTACCGTATATTGTTATTTTTCATATATATATTTTTATCAAAAATAAGTTTTGGGTTCAGGCATGTTATTGCTTTAAGTTCGCTCCACATTCTGAGATAAAACTATCACTTTCCTACTACAACAACAAGCTTCAAGAGATTTCAGAACTAAAGAGAAGAAAGAGTAGAAGAGAGTCCAGGGGCAAGATGAATAATAGTGCTTTTGGATAAGTAGGTGACACAGCACTCAACCCGAACTCAGCAAAACAGGCACACAGTACGAACAATGAACACGGGCACAGAAAGCTTACAAAACTCTCCCCAAACCCACATCTGAGAATGGGGTGAGAGAGAGAGAGAGAGAGAGAGAGAAGAGAAGAGAAGAGAGGGCTGACATTGTTTTCCTGTCTCTCACCTTTCAAACATATGTTAACACTGCATAAGCTCTATATTCAGCTTATGCTCAAGACCACAGTGTGGCTGTACACTCCAAACATTCAGATTGTTGCCATCCTTAGGTGGACAAAGAAAAGCACTATTAGAGCTGGATTAGTTTTACCAGAGAAGGTTGTGTAACATCATGTGAAAGGGATTTCACTTGAAAGGTCGTAGCCATGTTTGTGTTAGGTAAAGGGCACCACATTCAATAATTACGAAATTCTCTCTGAAATGATTAATTACAACACTTGATTAAAATAATAGATCTTGTTGCCAATAATTTAAATGGTAATAAAGGGGTGTTTCCTTTTCGGTATATAAGTGTAAGTGAGAGAGACTATGCAGGCTGATTTAAGTTAGCTACCTGACTTCCAATTACAATTAGCGCCTATCAGGACATAATTATGTTTCACAACTGAATGCAATGCATGAGACCACTTAGCCCAGACAGAGTGCTGGAATGAGGGGTGGGACATAGCTGCCATGGAAAAGACCAATGGAAAACTGGCAGAAATTGTTTATAACATGTTTATTCAATGACAAATAATATCTTAATATTTCACAATTAATATTACTATATACTAAAGGTTTGTCTGGATAGATCCAATATAGAGATAAAACTAATCCAGCTCGAATAAGGCCTGAAGGTGGGTTCACACTGTATGCGTTATTTTTTTTTTATTTTGTTTTCAAATGTGCCTGTTTTATTTTGCATGCTATTTTGCTCATTGGATGCCTCCAGGCTCCCTGAGTTGTAAAAATGTTCAACTCCAAGCAGTCAGGCAGCCTCCATCACCAGTGTTTTTCCTGTGCTGGGCCTTCAGTGACATTCTTATGAAAAAGGAATTACCAGCACGAATTGAAATTACAACACAAAAAGCATTCTGGTTTCGTTTAGCATGTTTTTACTAGCAGCATCACATTTGCTAGTTAATAGTAGCGAAACCTTCTGCCTGTACGTATTGAAATGATAGCTTAATAGCACAGCTGACAGACAGTTACAATGCTGCTGTTGCTTGTCAACAGGAAGACAAACAGACAGAAGTGGCAGTCAAAAGAACACAGTGTGGAAACCTAAGAAAAAATGGCTGCCTTGCGTTTTCTCTGCCTTCAGAAAAACGCAGTGTGAACCCCTCTTAGTTGATGCCTTACATGACATGACATTATATGACCAAAGTTACCTCCTACAGCACTTCAGGAGATAGAATTCTGTCTTCTTGCTTTTTCCTGTCCTCTCCCCATCAGTCTGTTTCTCTCCACCACTCTGCTGATCATTTGCGTGCTGGGTTTGAGCCAGGGGCCTGGCAGTAAGGGACTCGTGGCCCCTGAACTGTAGCCCTCATTCAAGTAGAGAGAGAGGCCAGAGATACTGGAGGCTGAAACACTAGCTTCGGAAACACTCACTTCAGATTCGGAATCTGTGTATTCTGGCTCAGGGGACATGAGGAAGGAGAAAGGAGCCTTCTGGGATTCGTAGGCTCCTAGGGACCCCTGTGAGGATCTGCTGTCGCTGAAGGTGCTGAGACTGGATTGCTGAGTGTCCACTTCGCGTTTCCACACTCTCTCTCCCCCCGCCTCGCTCGCCATCACTTGCTCTCTGTCACTGTCCGATTCACCCTCCAGCTCTCGACTGCTGTCTCTCTCGCTCTCTGTCTCGCTGTGTCTCTCTTTTACTTTTTCTCTAAAAAACGTCCTGTCCTCCTTTTCTCCCCACTCTCTCTCCTCCTCCCAGCTTTGACTTGGCGATCTCTGCTTAGGGATGGGTAGATTATGGTTCTCTTTTTGCCACTTCTCTTCTCTTCCAACCTCACTCTCTCTCTCTCTCTCCAGCTTTCTCCGCCTCTCTTCGCTTTTGCTCCTCCTCTCCCTCTCCTGTCGCCTCCTCGCTTTTCCTCTCTCCACTGGCCCATCCTCCTCCTCTTCCTTACTGTCCCCTCTCTGCCTGTTTCTGGATAAGCTGTGCGAGTCTTGGCTCCTCCTCCTGTCCTTTGACCTTCTACCCCTGCCCTCTGGGCTGTCAGGGCTCAGCTCCCCTCCCTGGTCCGTCCCCCACCCCTGCTGTTCTGTCCTCCCTCTCCGATTCTGGCTCCTGCCTGCTTTTGGAGGGCTGGGTGTGGTGTCCAGGTGGCGGCGGCTCACTGCAGCCAGACGCGGCTGCAGGGCTGGGGGCAGGGGGGAGACGGCTGCTCTGTGATCACGGCCTTGAAAGGGGGAGAGACGGAGAAAAAGAAACAGTGGGAAGTGAGAGAAAGTGGCAGGTGACAGAATTTAACTCATGCATGCAAAATATCACATTGCAGCACTGTTACACAGGTAAATTCAAAATATAGTGGACGTGCCAAAATAGTACTCCAGCACTTGCTTTGAGTAGAAATACTGAATTAGTTTTTTCATGGAGGTTCTGTAATATAATTCAAAGGGACTTGAGTGGTCAATTCATAAAGGATAAAATATTTGTGTCGTTTCCCCAAATTAACATAAACAGTCTGTCATGGAAGATCATAGTCTGGATGTTCATGCCAATACAGCACAGAGCTGTGAATAGTAGCAGGTGTCGTTGTTACTAGAGACTGCACCGTTCTGACACTCGGTATCGACATCAATGGGGTTATGTTTGGAGAAAATACTGGATCGAATATAGAAGGGGAAAAAAAGAATGCATCTAATCCAGTCCTGTAACAAACCTAGCCTGAAACAGCATGCACTCACATTGTTTGACGGAATGTTGGTAGCTATGTAGTTCTTCCTGCGGGGTAGTAGTGTGTTTGAGTGTGAGTAGTGTGAGGTGGGAGCTTCAGATTCAGTCAACAGAAAGCTATTAACTACATAAGTACTACTCTGACACTGCAGATTCATACTAGATTAAAGTAGAACATCCCATTGGTAATCACTTCATTTACAGCACCCAGGTAAAACTAATCTAGCTCAAGGGCTTTACATGTAGAGTACTGTGCAGAAGTCAGAGACGACCCTTTCATTGATTTAATTTCCAGTCAAAATGGACATTAAGTACAAGTTATTCATTTTTGATGTCAGAAAAAAGCAGGATACATTTAGCAGAAAAAAACTTTTAACACTATGTGTAATAGCAAATCTCCCATAATATAATTTGTCCACTCTTTTGCAAACTCTACTGCCACTTTAAAGATATGGCAAAAATACAATATCATGATATTTAAAAATGTTGTCATGATACGCAATACATATCACAATATTTCGTTATTGTGGAACAGATACGTTTGATGAAGTAGAACAGACAAAAAAGCCACAGCAATGCCACATTCAAAAGATACTGTCAAAAACTGTGAATATGAATCCATGAACCGGGACTAAATATGATATCTTTATGATGAAACATGCAGTTGCTCAGTGTTCTTTAAGTACTGATCTCCACAATATGCCCAGAAATACTGTGACATCATTTATCATGATAATGCTAAAACTGACATATTGCCCACCCTTAACTGACAATATGTTCCCCTTCAAAGAGACACTAACATTGACACAAGCAATGACCCAAACACACCAGCTGTCCTGCAAATTTCTTTCTCACGTGCATCTAAAATGGCTAAAGGAGATATTTCCGAGGAGATTATATATAAGATCATCCCACTGCATAATGAAGGGGGGTGTCAAAGGAAAATAAGTGAAAAAACAGTTTCCAAAACATCAAAAAAGGATTAAAAGATACAGAGAAAATATAACTCTAAACAACCACGCAAGGATTGGCCTGTGGTCCTAATCTGCTCTGCAGCCCGACCACCAAAACTGTCACCATCAGAGTTTTTAAAGCCTTCATCTTTGAGAGAAAAACAAGCTCCACTTTTGCTTCAGATCTGAAAAAAATTCACAGGTGTTTCCGTCTATCCTTCCACTGTGAGAAGACAAAGTCATGCTATTACTAAGGAAAAGAACGTCTGAGATGTGGATTAAGGTTTTATAGACTGATGAGTCTGAATTTGTAATTGGGATTGCTTGGATTGTTAAAAGCAAAAATGCAACCAAATTCTAGGATTGAACTTAAAAATATCTCTGCAGATTTCTTTGAAAAATTGATGACAAGTTTCCTGAAAAGTATAGAAGCTATAAGAAAGACAAAGCATGGACATACTGAATACTAAAAAATTGATGTTATATTACGTTGTTGAAGCTCCTGTGTAATTTTGTGTTAAATATGTTTTCTGCTTTTGATAAACTTGTACTTAATGGATGTTTCGATTAGAAATTTAAGAAGTGAAAGGGTCGTCTCTGTGCACTGTATTGTATTTTATATATTTTAGTGAATATGTCCCTGTTTTTGGTTGAAACCTTACTGCAGTACTAAAAATCGTCCTACCAGCTGAAGCAAATGCTGCTTGGGTTGCGTTAGCAATATATGGGATAACTTTAAAAAATTCTTTCAACCTGAAATCCATGAATGCCACTAAAATGTTAAACCCAGACAAGAGATGATATTCTGAGAAAACAGTAGAACATTTAAAAGCATGCTGATTCAACCTCCAATAAGCATTCACCCCTCAACCTTTCTGAATATCCCATCTTAATGAACTGCTTCCACGTTCTTTGGATGTACCGTGCCCAACACTTAAACCTAACTCCTGAATAAAGGCCAAGTAGAGCTTTGAAATGCTAAACGAGTCTTTGATGTGCTAATGACTCAGCACAAATTCTGCTGAATACAGGTACATCACTGCTTTGTCAATAAACTGGTACTGGACAAAGAAGGAGAGAACCTTTTTTATGACTCAGGCTGTTGAATGAATATATTACCAATGTACATTATAATAGATGTTTAAGTTATATTTAACTTCGAATTAGTAGATACTTTAAAATATGATTTAACTGACACTGAACAAAATGTGACAAAGATATAAAAGGTAACAGTCTGTATTGAAAACAGCAATGAGCTACTCTGCAACATTTCCTAAGAAATATCCTAAGAAATTGCTTTACTTTTACAGGATGCTACTCCACTCAAAAGTACACATTACCTGTAATACAGCACAGGGACGCTCAATGGAGGGCAACGCATGAGTGACAGAAACAGTAAGACGAGGGGAAAACGCGAGAGCACGCTTAAAGAGTGACATTAGACAACATAAAAAGAGGAGAGATGTAGAGAAAACAGGAAAATGGGAGAACTAACAGGAACGACTACCAACCGCGTGTTCTCGGTCCGCCCGATCACATAAAAGCAAGGCTCGCCCAGCTTGGAGTTGGTCATACAGAGAGAGAGACTTGAAAGCTCCACTGTGTAAAAAAGGAAAAAAGAGAGAAAGAGGAAAGTAGGAAGGTACAAAAATTTCCCCCAGCGTCATGGAAACAGAACAGAAGCATTTAAATGAAGGAAAGAAGAAAAGATATGAAAAGGTCAGGGAAATTAAAAGAGTAGTATAGAATGAGAAAGAAAAGAAGCAAAGGAAGCAGAAGGAGATAAGATGACCCCATCATTTGAAAGATCAAAATAAAAATATGTAAGGTAAAGGGAATCAAAAAAATGTGAATGAAATAAATAAAAATATTAATATCAGGTAAGAAAATAAAGAAAAAGAGAATCCGGAAGAAAAAAAAGCACAAGAAAACAGCTGTTAGTATGATGTTAGTAAGCTTTTAAAGACAGAAAGATAAAACAGAACCTAGAACTGGGAGCTCAGTAACATTACAGCCCTGTTTGTATCAACCTATTATAAAAATCATTTACTCAACTAATGGCCTTTTAAAACATGCACTGTTTTTGAACATCTGATTTCTCTGTGATATATAAGCTGTGACTAATATGCTAAATAAGTTAGGATTTCTGTATAAATGAGTTTATGCTTAGCTCTGTTAATCGTAGCCCTCTCCTCAGTCCAGTCAGCCTTACCATAGTCAGGAACGTATCCGTTGCCCTTCTTCAGGACAAGATGGATCCTTTGGCCAGCGGTCCTGATCTGCTCCACGGCCTGACTGTGGGTCATTCCTGCTGTGCTGTGCCCATTGATCTCCACTAACTGGTCGCTCACCTGAAACATTCATCAGTGTCTCATTGTGTTAAGCATGGAATAAACAAACCTGGCATGTAATTAAGCACCACATCTGTTATAATACAAAGGCACATTTTCAAAACTAGTTTACAGCTTACAGTCTCTGCATAAAACAAAACAGAATTTGTTGTGAATTGATCTATTGGCTGGCTTCACAAAGCACAGACAGACAAAGGGGTCAAAAATTTTCTGTAAATTTGCAAACTTCCTGAACATCTTTCTTTAGTCATTCATCCAGTGAGAACAAACAAACACACATACACAAGTTTATTTTTATACAGTGACAAGATGTGGGGTTATATATGTCCAATATGTATGATGTGACTATATTATATGGTAGTGATATACATGGGATAAGTATATAATATATATGTTTTAAGTTTCTATATGTCATAAAGATTTTCTGAGCCTAACCCTAAAGCTAACCCAAAACTTAACAGAATAAAAGCTTTTTTGTAATCTCACTTCGTAGGTCCTGACACTCTTCTTTACCCTTTATTTCTCTGGGTTTTCTACAAAGTCAAGGCATTTTCATCATAAAAATGTATGAAAGCAACACACGTAGACACACACATACACACACCTGTATCTTGCGGCTGCGTGAGGCTGGTCCTCCCTCCATCAGGCCCAGAACATAAAGGCCCATGTTATACTCACTCCCCCCTCTCAGACTGAAGCCAAAACCAGTGGGCCCTCTCTCCAGATCCACACTGTAGTACCGCGAAGTGTCCTGCTGTGTGAGTGACAGCGAGAGAGAGAGAAAGGCATAGAGAGACAGAGCGACAGAAAGGGTTAGTCTCTGAAAGCCATGTGCTGCCATACCAACTCTAAAAGTAAGCAATAGAGGGTGATATATTGCCTCACCTTCTGTTTAAACCTGTGAGACTTTCGGCTTCTGTAACTGGTATCATAGTCTGAGTTCTCGGAGGAATCTGAGAGAAGGGAGAGGAGAGAGTAGCAAAGAAAACAGAACAGAGGAGGAAAAGGCGAGGAAAGACGAGGAAAGGTGAGAAAGTACAGTATGGTTAAGATTCAAAATATAGAATATGTATGTAAAATGTATCTTTATTCCTGAAACGGTAACCTTAATGTACATTAACGGAATGATATTTTATATCAATAAATTTTGGACTTTTCCTATTGGTCCACTCATCAGGACTCACAAAATATTCACACAATGGAAGAGTATCTAGCATTTTTTAAATGATGTTTCAAATACTACATTGACTTTACATATAAATTAAAGAATAAACATGCATATATCATTTAGCTCTATACCTCTACGTCTGTGGGATTCTAACAGTATGTTAGTGCCGAGCTAACAGTGATTCACATGAACGTGTTGCCCGTTGTACATAAAACGCAGACATTTAAAGCTTGTAAAAGACATTCTATGTTTTATATAAAGTTTGTAACAGATATATTAACATACATTTTACCATGTGCGTAGCATTTCTACCATGACTCTTCTAGTAAAGATCCCAGACACAGAGTGGCTCCTGTTTTCCTTTTCTAACAACTGACTGGACTGCAGTCAGTGACGTATCTAGGCCTAGAGTGACACTTTTTTCAACAAATTGTTCTCACCCAATGTAAATCAAAACATTATTGTTTAGCTCCACTGCCACTGCATTTGTCTTGGTGGCTAATCTGACACATTAGGCCACCAGTTTAGCTAAAGAAAGCCTAACCAATGTGAGAGTTAGCCTGGCTGTATCCAAAAGAGCCAAAAGATTTGCATATACTACTGAGATTAAGGTTAGGGTTAGGTTTAGACACAGGCATAGCAGTATTTAGCTATAGTGATCCAAAGGGCAAGAGGCAATTGACAAAAAGATTTCTACGTGTACCTGGATGTGTTTGTACTGTATGTGTGAGCTGGACTGTGTTAGCACATTTCAGATTTTATTGTCTGTTTCTCATTCAAAGGCCTTGTGTCGTGTGTCTGCTATCACTCACGGGCACTGGAGCGTGGGACGATGGTGAGGCGGAGTGTGTTTCCGGCTCGGCGCAGTATCTGTGCCAGCTCCCTGTGGGGCAGGGTGACCACACTGCGTCCCTCCACAGCCTCCAGCCGGTCCCCTGGACGGATCTGCCCGCTCCGCGCAGCAGGACTGCCCCGACGTACCGTCACAAAACGATGGGGCAGCAGAGACACCGCTGGACATGAAGAGAGAGAGAGAAATATATTGTTTGTTTAGTACAAGCTGAATTTCTACAGCTTTGGCACTATTGTACAAGATAAAGTAATGCCAATGACACAAACTGACCTATCCATGCACAGAAATGTACTGTATAGTAGCAACTGTTGCAAGGTTGGACAAGCTTTACAGAATGTAGAAACAAATCTCATTCAATCTAATCCCAAACTAGTGCACAACAAAATAACTGACTATGCAGTTCAAACTGTTAGAATAAATCGCATGTAGTAGCTTTGTCATGTAATTAAGTTAGGAATCGTTAGCATTAGTCGTCTAGTCTTGATCAGCTACAACATAGCCCAGCTCAATTATGTCCCATTTTACACTGGCAACTCAATATTAAGTAGCTACTTTAAATAAATTGTCCTACTATTTCTCATCACTTTAAATGGCATTTTTGTCAGGGTTCTGTATAGCTTGTCCAACCTTGCAACAGTTTCTACAATAGTACACATCCGTGGGCAGAGTATGTATAGGCCATCTGAGAGACAGACAGAGAAAAAGTAAGAGGAAAAAAAAAAAGAAAAAGTTGAAAAGTACTAAAAAGGTGCAGTTTTAAAGAAGAGGTGAGGCAGATAAGTCTGAATTACAAAAACACATTAAGAACATCATTAGTGCAGTATCCATATTTCAGAGTAGTAATGGAGTTAATCTTCAGTCTGTCACATATCACTTCCAGTGTCTGCCATCACAGGTAATGAACAGACAATTCAGACAAGTCTTAGTGGTTAAGCATAGCTCTAGGTGAGGTGTCAGGAGCATGCTGATGGTAGTGGACTCCTGCAGAGCTCTAATAAACCTGTGGTTATGAACTGTTAGCCCTGGCCCAGGATCAAACCATCAATGCTAATAACTCCAATGTATTGCTGTTTCACTGGCCATGGTCAACCCATCTCAACCCTGCCAGGAGGATATGACTGTGTGTGTGCGTGTGTGTGTGTGTGTGTGTGTGTGAGAGAGAGAGAGAGAGAGAGAAAGAGAGAGAGAAGGGAAGTGGGAGAGATGAGATGAAGGTTTGGATCAATACAAAGCAATACAAAGATTAAAGCACTCAATGATCATGTAATGGCTGAAAGCAAAACACATGGTCATTAGAGCTGACTCCACCAAATAATCTAACTAACAGGGGCTGGCTTGTAGCTGATTCTCCTCTGTCAACCCCTTCTGGTGGGTAGTTGTTTTGGCTCTGACAATGCTCTTTGACTGTAGGCCAATTTGCATTACAAATTGTACATTTGACTTTCTTTCCCTTTCGTCTGAAGTAAAATTCAACTGGACTATCAGGGGTCACAAATTTTGAAAAACCTGCAGCCACACTGGCCCTTCGCGGATGAGACTGGTGACCCCTAGTCTAGACAGTGACAACAGAATATCTCTCATTCCGTGTGTGCTGGTGCAGGAAAACTTGAACATCACTGCGTGAAATCGAGTCCAAAGTTTTTGACTGCCTGGCATCAGTTCTTTTCAGTATCAACTCCTAGCCCAAATGCTCAACTTGTTCAAGCAATGTTTAGTCAAAAAAGTCAAAGCAGGGTTCTTGTGTGGTGCTATCAGCTTAGGAGGTGTCACTGTGAGCACTGGCTCAATTCTCATTGGGGGAGAGGGTAGGTTTAGTTCCTATCTCCCTGATACAGAGCGATGCTAGCCAATGAGAATGAAGCATCGATTTAAAGGTAGTGACACGGCTGCATCAATTTTGTAAAGTTAGGTAACTGATTATATGAGCCTCAATTTCAAAAATGTTGGGACAGTACGAGAAATGCTATTAAAACCAAAAAGGGATTTTTCATACGGGGACATTTTTACTGTATATTGCACGTCTAGCACCTGTACTCTCAGATATTATTCAGTATCAGATTAACACACACCACACTATTACACGCTTTATTTACTGGCTTTTGAACTTTACACTGGTAACAATCTGGACAGTCATTTTCCTTCTTGGCCTGGAGGACACAATGTTCATTATTTGCATGAACTGAAAGGTTGACTTATCAGACCACAATACACATTTCCATTTCAGATGTGCCCAAAAAAGTCAGCAGCATTTTTGGACTGTGACATATGGCTGTGCATAGTGCAGTCTTAACTTGTATTTCTGGATACAGTGACAAACAGCATTTATTCACAGCAGTTTGTAAAATGAGCCCATGTGGTATAATGCATGCTGTATAATGCAGTGTTATCTAAAGGATCAAAGGTCACGGTCAATCAGTTGTGGTTTTCAGCCTTGCCTGTTACACAAAGAAATCTCTTTGGATTCCCTGAATCTTTTAATGATATTGTGCAATATAGGAGGTGAAATACCTTAAATCATTGCAATTACTCATTCAGGAATGTTGTTTTTAAACTGTTGGATTATTCACTAACGCATTTTTTGGCAAAGCGGTGAGCCTTGACCCATTCTTGCTCATTCCTGGATGCTCCTAGAAAAACTCAAGTATGATTGCATTATCTGTTTAAGATATTTGTTGAACATTTTGCAATGTTCCTAGTCTGGCATCCATTTCAGAATAAACATACATTTACCAAAACAATAAATTGATAAGGTAAACCAAAAAAAAACATTTTTTATTGTACTGTCAAATAAAGGCCAGAGTGAATTTACAAATCACTTTTTCTTGTTTTTATTAGCATTTCACCTACCCATCATTTTTGGAATTGAGATTTGTAATTGATCACACTAATATTTAATAAAGTCTGTGTTATATTGCCTAAAATTAATTCTACAAATAAATGGCACTGCAGTGGTATGACACAAAGCAAAATTACTAATAATTACTACTAACTGTCCAATAGTATAAGAGATAGGGGACATTATTACTGTCATCATTACTTATAATTATTACTATTAGGCAGTATTCAATTTGGACTTAGATTATCCAGTTTAGTGAGTAATTTTGATTTCTAAAATCCCCGCCACTGCTACCGTGAAGAAGCTGAAGTAGTGAAGAAGTAAAATGACTCTTGAATACTGGTGAGTGGAAAAAATCCACACTTTCTACATCTCAGGCTGTACACAGGCATTGATGGATAGAATGACAGAAGAAATTAACATTCCCTTGAAGATATGTAAAGAATAAAATAATTTAGAAGTACCCAAGAGTCCTCCCCAGAGCGAAGAGGAGGACAGATAGATAAATGATGGATGGGAGTAGAAAAGTGGGGAGCATTTGAAGGGGATGGAGAGAAAGACAGAGCGTGCCTATGAGAGTGCAATTATTCATCAGCACGGCCAAAAACGTTCTGTCTCTTACTTTCTCTCTCTCTCTCTCCCTCTGCGTCTATCTATGTATCTCTCTCAATGTCAGACTCATTCCTGGGTGGCCTTCAAAGGCATCAGTCATTCGTAGATAGACTGAGAAAGGACCTGCAGCAGAAGCAGAAGGTCTAAAAGGCTTAAGCTAAAAACAGTGAAAGGACTGGAAAATGCAGGAGGAGCTATTTCTCCTGTGTTGGGGCTTAATGTGATTCAAAGTAACAAATTACAGTAATGTGAGTTTTTTTTTCTGTAATGAAGTAGTGTGAAGCATTATAGTTACAGTCACTATAATCACAGTTACTGTATTAATAGGTGTTTTGTTGCTTGTGTTACTCATTATAGTATTATAGTTACAATTACTGTAACCACACTACAGCTACTGAATTAATAGGTCTTTTGTTGCTTGTGTTACTCATGTGTCTCTAAGAGAACAATATTATTTTCGTGCAGTGCATTTAAAATATCAATTTCTTCTATATCAAGTCAAGTCAACTTTATTATCCAGGGAGGAAATCTAGTTAGTCAATGGTGCAAAAACATATGCATATATCCACATAACAGTATTAAAACTAACACCACTACAAACGTAACCCACACAAACAAAGTATATAAAAAACATGAACTATACAGGGTATTTGTGGCTGTCTATGTATGTGCTAGCAGCAACTGCTTGTAGTGCAAACACAGGAAGCACCTGAAACCTGGCAAACAATCTAATCACGCTAATATGAAACTGATAAACAAAGACTCCCTTACTGAGGAGGACCTCAACTACACAGACTTGATTTTCATTCAGGAACATCTCTGTTAGCTTTACAGAGATTTATTCAGCTGTTTTTGAACAGTTTCTACTGTCTAGTTTCTCTGTACATCATTTTAATCAAGAATAACTGGCGATCTGTTCAGAGCAGAGGAGTTTTAGAGAGTAACACAAAAGTAATGAGTAATGACAACAACAACAACAACAATAACTTAATGTACTTTTTATACCAGTGGCAGATCAAAGTTTAAGTGGTTATTTAAGTTTTAACAGTATTAGAAAAGTTAGATTTTCTTTTATTTTAGTTGGGTGATAGTAATATAAAAAACAAAAATTAACAAATGAAAGTCAAGTTTACTAATTAAAATCATGTGAAGCAATAATAAAGCTCAATTTAAAAAGACAAATACAAAAACTGGAAAAAAGTGGAAATTGAATTCTTGTTGCTCAGAAGTGTGTACTGAACTTGACTGCCTAATAAAAGGTGAAATTGAGTTCCACAGTGCAGAAGCATAATACAGAGAGCAGCCTCTCCCTGTTTTCTGTATTTTATGGAAGGTATTTGCAGAAGGCCAGTATCTGCAGATCTGGAGATTTATGTTGGAACATAAAAAGACAAATTTCTCTGAGTTATGCAGAAGCTTTAAAAGCTAATAAAATAATTTAATATATCTTAAAAGATGCTCTTTCAGGCAGCTTTTCAGTCTAGTTCTTTCTGAATGGAGTGACAGGCACTGTTTTTTTTGTTTTTGTTAGGATCTGTGCTGCAGCGTTTTGTGTAAGTTTTAGAGGATGTCTTTTTTCTTAGGAAGCCAGTAAAAAGAGAATTACAGTAAAGCAATACAGTATGACAAATACATGGGATAGAAAATGCAGAACTTTAGCAATGTTTTTCAAATTATGAAAAAGCTACTTTATTATTAATTCCTTTACAGTT